TATTGCAAAAACAACAGGAATTTTAAAAATATCTAAATGATGATAGGTAAGTTAAAAAATAAGTGGTCAGAGTTGTGTATGAAAGTCAAAAAATATAATGAGACATTAAAGATATGGCATACCTTTATTTTTCCACATAGGTACCAAGTACATTGAGACATTTGTCATATCGCTTGATAAGCTTCAAAAAGCCCTCCAGGAAAAAATCAGGGCTTTGCATATGGAAGAAGGGTTGAACGGCTTGTTTCACTTCAGTTTTGCTTCCAAAGCGCCTTCCCCTGAGATTTTTCTTCAAAGCCGGAAACAGATGGAAGTCGCTTGGTGCGAGATCAGGACTGTATGGCGGATGGTGTAGGCGCTCCCAACCAAGAGTTGCAATATGGTTTTTCATTGCCGTCGCCGAATGTGGTCTGGCATTGTCATCCAACAGCAGAACACCAGATGTGAGAAGGCCAAGCCGCTTTTTCCGAATAGCCTCTTTCAATTTCGATAGGGTGTCACAGTAGCGTGTAGCATTGATGGTTCCAACCTCCAAAACGTCCAGCAACAAAACTCCTTGGGCATCCCTGAAAACTGTGAGGAGCACTTTACCTGCCGAGGGAGTTGTCTTGAACTTCTTTCGAACAGGTGATGACGGATGTTTCCACTCCATAGATGTGGCCTTCGATTCTGGCGTGAAATGGTGGACCCACGTTTCATCCCCCGTCACAATCCAAAACAGAAAGTCATTGCCATCTTCATGGTAAGGCACGAGATGTACCAAGCTGACCCCCATGCGTTGTTCCTTGTGTGTCGAGGTCAATCGTCGGGGCACCCATTGTGCTGACACTTTTCTGTATCAAAGCCGTTCAACGCTTCTTCCAAACGCTTCAACGCTTCTTGCAAAGCCCTGATTTTTTTCCTGGAGGGCTTTTTGAAGCTTATCAAGCGATATGACAAATGTCTCAATGTACTTGGTACCTATGTAGAAAATAAAGGTATGTCATATCTTTTAATGTCTCATTCTATTTTTTGACTTTCATACACAACTCTGACCACAGTCAACAGGGGAAACTTATTTTTCAACTTAACCTCGTAATTTCAAGTTTTGGTTAGAGATTTTTTATCAGATACCTCATGTTGAAATAATATACAACTAAATGCAATCCAGAGAAATTAGTGTGTTTAAAGTTTTCAAAACTGGTATTTTAGAATTAAGAAACTCAAAAGTACCGTAAGAATTTTTCAAAGACACTGATGGCAGAAGCTAAGGAAATATGCGACGTTATACCATGTATTGATATAATGCACAGATATTCTTCCACTAAACACTTAGCAGCTGCTAAATTGTTTAACAAGAAATGCTTAGTTTTAGGAATGACCATTCTACAGAAGAAATAATACTGACCAGTGAAGCATATCCAATGATTGGCAAAGAAAAACTTGAAACTGAACTAAAAGTATTCTATTGTAGGTCTGATAGACATGAATACTGTAAATTAATTGAGCTATTGAAATTCATCTGCGAAAATAATCTAGATGATGTTCTTGGTGAAATTACAAAACTGATAAAATTTCTCTTGAGAGTTCCCGTGACTACATCAGAGGTAGAACGCTGCTTTTTAATATTGAAAAGAAAACGTTTCTAAAATGCACTAGGAATTCAGAAAGACTGAATGTGCTTGCATTGCTTTCAATAAAGAAAAATTTCCTCAGTTGTCATCCAGAGATCAAGGAGAAAATTATTGATCTTTTCGCCTAAATTAAAACAAAAGGAATGGATTACATTTTTAAATGCTAGACAAAGATTAAACTGTAATAATTTTGGTTAAAGTAATTAAGAAATGTTTAATTTTTTTCTTGTAAAATTTAATGAAGTTTCAAAATAAATTTTCTTTTTATACATGTTTGTTTCCTTTTACATAATTTTAAAACAAATGTTAAATTTTTTTGGAACAGCACCCCCACTAATTTTAGCCACGAGCCGCCACTGTCTCTTACTACCCAAGATGTAAAATAAAGTTTAAAACCTCTGGCCAGTATTGTGACACTTTGAAAACTTTGTGTGTTTGTTCTAAAGTGCCGGTGGAGCGAAGGATTTTTAAAAAGGGGTACGAAATTAGATTATAATCTATTATATTCGAGAAATTGTAAATTATGCTATTAGAAATATGACAGATTGTGTTACAAGAGGAATGGAAGGCAGATAAAACAGGTACAAGACTTAGAAACATATTTAAATGCTTAGTTAGAAAAGGGCTAAAATTACAGTAAAAATTACGATAGATAATTAAATAATTATGAAAAGAAATTAGTATAAAAAGTTATTAAACAATGAATTAGGGAAAAATATTACTTTTCAGAATTACTTACAAGAACTCTAGTGAGGGAAGAGCTACTGAATGTTTGAAGAAGTACTTGCATCCTATACTGCTTGAGGAGTGTATTTCTTACACCGAAGGCCTTTAATTCAGTGTACGAAATGTAACTAACTACAATAGAAAATGAGTTGTGATTTTTTGTTTTTCTGGATGTTTGATCAATTACTATTTGAAAATTGTGATACTTATTAAAAATTTAAAATATACAAACTATTTCTCTTGAGGAGGTCTATCATTCTATAAAAAGTTTTTCACCCCTCGGTTATTTGCAACTGAGAAACCACTCCTTATGTAAATACAAAGTTAAATTCGATCGAAGTTGAGATCTACTGCACCTACAAACATAAATGAGGTACCTGCACACTCTGCATAAGAAGACCTTTAATTTGGTGGAAGAACAGTAACTCTAATTATAACAGAGCAGGAGTTACGATTTTTAATGTGTTTTTTCAATATTTGATCGATTATTAATTAAAATATGGTAGTTATTAAAAATATACAAATATTGCACTTGAGGTGATCTATCATTCCATAAAAAATTTATTCACCCTGCAGTTATTTGCACCTCAGAAATCGCTCCCCATATAAATCCCATGTTAAATTCGATTGAAGTTATCTCAGGATCTACTGCATTTACGACCATAAATGAGAAAAATATCTGCTCTGTTCAAGATCTTTAATTTTGTTCACGAACGGTGACTAACTGTAATAGAACATGAGTTATGATTTTTTACATGTTTTTCTAGATTTTTGAGAGATTATTAATCAGAAACTGAGATACTTATTAAAAATCCAAAATATTGCACTTGAGAGGGTTTATCATTCCATAAAAAATTTTTCACCCCATAGTTATTTACACCTGAGAAACCACTTCCCATGTAAATCCCATGTTTAATTAGATCAAAGCTATCTGGGTATCTATTGCATGTACAAATATAAATGATATACTTATGTCCGCTGCACGAAGAGAACTTAAATTTGGAGCAAGAATGGTGACTAACTACAATAGAATGCGAGTTACAACTTTGTATATGTTTTTCTCAATATTTGATCGATAAACTGAGATACTTATTGAAAAGAAGCAGGAAGTTGTAAACACAGAATTGGTGAATGCAGTTACAGAATGTTGTGGAATTAAGTTAGACAAATGGTGCTGAAATGGTATTAAAGTACTGAAGAACATACAAGTGCAACTGAAGACTTCTTCCAGGTTTTGAAGACTTTAGAAATGTCAAGAATTATAGCTAGAGATAGTTTTTTTTTTTTTTTAATATGATTTAAAAACATTTAACATCGAAGAGACTGATCAAAAGAGATATCTTGCCAAGAACAGATTCTTTTTAGATCGATTAAGTTTAAATGGACTTGAAAGCACGAGCAAAAACGTTTCTTCAAGAACATTTGGCTTTTGAGGTTAAAAGAGAAAACAGTTCTGAATGAAAAACGACTAACAAATGTAAGCTTTTGTTTCATAATTTTTGAATCATTAATTACCACACACATAGATTTGTTCAAGCAAAACAAATGAAAGTCTTTAGGTTTTGTAGCATTAGTCAGAAAGCTTATACAGCTACCCTTCATAAAAAAATATATCTTCATCTGCTGAAAGTTCATCAAGACTTCTGTAGCAAGTCGGGTTTCTAGCCTTTTGAAGTCTATTACCATGCCTCCTTTAGAACTGATGAACTGGCACAACTGATAAAAAGAATGTTGGAAGTTATAACTACTACTCATACACAAGATACATTAATTCCCAGATTTTCCCCCAATGTTAGCTTGAATTAGGAAGATTTCTTTCCACGGATACCATAATGCTAGAAAACAGTGTGCTTAGAACTAATTCTCATTTCTCTTCTTAATTTGTTCTTAAGTCACTTAATTTATTTGAAAAGATCAAAAATATAATCCTAAAATAAATTTTAAATTTCGACTTTTAAGATAACGCTTTCTTCTTACTGATGGATTTCAAAACAATTCATTTAAGAGAAGCTTAGACAGTGCTTTCTAATCTCTGAATCCATTATTTTAGAAGTCAAACAACAGCTCTGAAACCATTAGGTGTATTTTCAAACTTATAATTTCACAAGGTAGGGATCTGATTCTGTCTTTCACAGTTTCACAATTCTAGCTATAATTAACACCCCCCCAGCAATATTTATTCTTCAAATGTTTTTACGTTTTAGCCTGCAGTAGAACTGACACTTTAAAATAAATTGTTAGAAAATAAAAAGTCTGTCTCCATTTATTATTATTATTATGCTCTTACAGACTGTGTTTAGGAATGCAACTATTTCCATTTTTCACTGCAAGATTATATAAAGGTAAAAAATTCCCCTTTGGAGAACAAATCTAATAGCATATTTTTTAATTTCTATTGGTATTTACTCATATATATATATATATATATATAAACACTATAGTTTTATATATATCTAACACTATAGTTTATATATATATCTAACACAATCTATATACATATCTATATATATCATATATATATATATATATATATATATCTAACACAAAGTGTTTAGATATTCTAAACACTTTAGTATTTAAATTTATTTTATAAAAAGTGCCAGTGGACTAAAAAATAGTTCTGGGAGTAAAAATAATAAAGTGCAAATAAAGCGAATAGAATCCAATGTCCAAACCTTTCAGCATTTTATTGTAAAACTTAAATCTTTTTACACATTTCACTGCAGCATTTGATAAGAATACCTGTTCTACCTTACTGCCAGAAAAAGTGATCCTAAATTAAATTATGGTGTAGATATATGTAATCTATGTTTGTACATTTTTGTAAAAAAAGAGCTATAATCAATCATAAAAATTCTGCATCTCTTAGTCATCAATTATTCTAAAATATTTAGGCACATCCATCACAGTAAATACAATTCTGAACCACATTTTCCTGGAAGATAAGTCAAACAGAATAAATTTAATTCTATCCAAATTCTTTGGCATCATCTTCTGTGATATCACCATATTGCCAAAGGAAAAGCTGCAAAAGAAGGAGGCATTAAAAATCAAAAGACACATACCTTAAATTCAATGATATAGAATAACTGAGACAAACATGCATTGATTATATAAAGGATCTATTTTTTTCCAAATTTCATATTTTTAATGTACACTGGCTTCCAAATGTTAAACACAGAATGCACATTGGCAATTTTTAAAAGCACAGATCAATTTAAGTGGCTGAAAATTGCAGCAGATGACAGTATGAAAATATATGCTACATCTAATCACAATTAATTGTCTAAACATATGCTAATTAGGCAGCCACTGAAGATGCCAGCATTCTAAAGGGTTTGAGAAAACGTTTTTTAAACACTGAAACAAAGTGTAACTTTTGTGGGATAATTTTTTATTAAATTTCATATTTATGGCTCAAGAATGCTAAATAGTGAGCACTGGCTTGCTGTTGGGCACTTTGAAGTAGGACAGTCAGTCAAAGATGTTGCTCTCTTCCTTGGCATTGATCGATCGATAATTTCTCGAACATGAAAACATTTCCAAACTCATCAAATAGTTGTCGAAAGACCTATGTTTGCTCAGCCAATGGTTACCATCCCTTCTGACAATCGATATATTGTTAAAATTGTCAACTCAAATCAACAAGTAACCTCCACAACTGTCACACTCATGATTGCAACATCAGTGTAAAAGAAATTATCTGCCAGTACCATGCACAAAAAGCTTTACATGAAGGGACAATATGCTCAAGTATCAAGTGTTTGTATTCCACTAACCACCCAAATCCAGAGGGACATGATTACAGCAACATCTCAAATGGACTATCTCAGATTGGTGAAATACCCTGTTAATGAATAAGTCCAAATTTTTCCTGGAATCATATGATAAGAGTGCAAAGGTCTGGCCAGAACAAGGCACAAAGAATAATGAGTAGAACATCATGCATTCAGATGTAGAAGAATCACAGTGTGGACTGGAATTTCAAGGGTATATTGCAATAGATTAACTGCACATCTTTAAAGCCAGATCTGTGATGGATGTACAGTATCAGGATGAAGTCCTAAACCCATTTGTAAGACACTTCATTGCAGCAATAGTCATGATTCTCTCCTTGTGGATGACAGTGACTGTGCCATCAATCATTGTTAACAACTGGCCATTGTATTCTCCTGACATTAATACCATTTAAAATCTGTGATATCCTTGGGCATGCGGTTTCTGCACGTATACCTCCTCCAGACAAACTCAGTTGGAAACTGTGCTAACAGAGGAATGGCTATTGATAGCATTTGTGATAGTTGACTATAATCTTTATAAGCATGGGAAAATGCTGTAAAGTTTGTGTGAAGGTCCAGGGTTGTCTTATACCTTATTAATGTGCTCTACTTGTTTTTAGCTTTAACCATAAATTTGTTAATGACTCAAATATGACATGTAATTTATGAATATTAAATTATGTTTTCATCTTCATATAAAATGTTTGTTTTGTTCCATGTATAAACAAATTTGGCATCTGCAGGAGCAATTTGCTGTTAAGCACACCTTTACTTTTACATTTTTATTGACATTTACCATCATTTCCCAACTTTTAGAAACCAGTGTATACTTTGTATGCTTTGAAAAAGCAATCAATCATTTAAATAGCAATAATTTATAAATATCATATAGCTTAAGCATGATAGTTAAAACACTAATTGCAAACACATCAGTAACATGTAAAATACTCAATCTATGATACACAATTATCTGTTTAAAGGAATGTTTAAATAAAATTTAGTTCACAAATAAACTAATCCTTAAAACTGCACACCAAAATTTACTTCCTAAACTACATTACACTATTGTTTTCAAAGGCTTTTATGCAAGGGAGACAGATTTAAAAAACTTACTCTATTCTTTTTAGCTAGATCCTGGGCAGTTAGATATTCGTTAATAATTTTTTGGTATTTCTTCTCTTTTCTCTTTTCAACAAAGACAAAGCCTTTAGATACAAGTTCTCTTCCTATATCTTGCTTTCATCCACAGTTACTAATGTAGCATATGGCACAGAGCCAACTCTATACTCAACATTAAGCAAAAGCACTTGGTTGTCAGTTTCTTCAAAAAACTGATTTTTAGCTTCACTCGCATTTTCAGTCTGGAAAAGAAAAATAATTACACACAAGATACACAAAACATTATATGTTGCTGTTACTTCCACAAATATTTAAAATGTTATGGCTCTATAATCGTGTGTAAATCATTAAAATGGTAAGTCATTTTACACAAATTAAAATAGTACATATTCTCTAACAATGCTCACTTATACATTAAGTTATACTAAAATTATTAAAATGCATAAAAGGTTCACATATTAATATTCCAACTTTTCTTAGTCAATATAAAGGCAATTTTGATGCGACATTCTGACCAACAAAAATCTGAACTTAATGCCATTACATCATATATAAACATTAAACAACCAAAAAGCATTATCTAAATATAAGAGCTTCTTTATTTGAAATGTTCGTATTTTTAGTTAAAGCCTGGAATTTGGAATTTGACAGTACAAAGTCCGATATCGGTATGACCAATATCCGGGATGATCTAAAGTCTGGACCTCAAAGCCACTAAACAACCTTTTTTTTTGTATGCTTTACACGTGCGTATTTGATTCCCCCCTCTGCACATAATAAAACATGTGGAGAGTTCCGATTCTTAATTACACTTTAGCACTAAATAAAATACCTCGTTATTGAAGAAACAATCATTTTAGCATAAATTTGTGTGATCAATAATTTGGCTTTGTAGCTGCATATCTGCTTGGCACATACATCTCAAACTGAAACATTCTACATACAAACATCATTGATCTTCCACCTACTAATATTTTATATCCCTAACGCCAACCTGGCAAATCATTATATTTTGCTCTCATTACCACGTGTTTATCAGTAAGTGACAACTTGAGTAATGACTCATGCAACGATGCCTAAACAATTTTTTTTTATATTAGTAACTGAATAACTGAGTACGGTAGCCTCTTATGTTGACAGTATGCTTGGCGATGATTACAGATTTATGTTAGATGCACTAAGAAATGTTGATGAGGAAACAATTAACAAAAATTTCTTTTCATATACTAAAAATAGATTTTGTTAATGATACTCATAGGCCAAAAGATTACATTTAGTATGTTTGAATTAAGAATAGCTCATTTGTTATTCAAATAAGCCCAGAATTGGCGGCAGAACTCGTATGGCCACACCGGGCAGCAAAATTTAGGGAAGACAAAATTTTCGGAATTTACAGAAGCACAGAGCCACAAAATTAAGAGATGACAAAATTCTTAGAATTTAGATAAAGCACTGGGACCCAAAATTTAGAAGCAGAAAAATTTCAGAACTTAGAGATACTTGGTAGAAGAATTTAGGACCCACAGAGACTGCATCAGCATGGCAAGATATCTAGGACTGGCCCTCAATAAGCCTTAAGTATATGCAGGAATTTACAAGACTCAAATAAGCCTGAAGTACGTGCACGAATTAGACAACTAAACTTCAGGCTTAACTGTCTCAGTATGCGATAGAAGTAAGACAAAATTTAGCGGAACAACTTGCCTTTGTCGCCAATCTCATGATACACAGCCAGCAATACATAGCGGATGCTATTAAGCTAAGCTAAAATTAAACTTTACTGATTCCAAAGAATTTCAGATTCAGAAGATTGTACTATTCTTTAACTTTCTGATTTGATCCAGCTTATTACTTTTTGCTGGCTGTTATTATTACAGAAATCTGTGCAGTGTGAGCTTTCAGTTATGTTGAAAAGAGTTTAATTCTGGAGCTGCAACAGGATCTACAAAGCAAACGCACATTCCGATGTCCATTAAACAAAAAGTGGGATTGCTGCAAAAAATGGATACAGGTATATCCGTCTCAAAAGTATGTGAGGAGTATGGCAATGGAAAGTCTGTATACGACATAAAAAAACAGAAAAAGAAACTTTTTGAATTTTTTGTGGATTTCAACACCCCACTCCCCATAAATTACAGAAACATTATCATGCTAAAATTTACAATCATGACAAAGTTATGATTGAATTGGTCAGACAGGGATGCAACAATGGCATGCCATTGCTGAGTCCAATGGTAATGTGACTCAACCCAAAATATTTCATGAAGAAATTAACTTAAAAATTGAGTGCACATATTTGACAGGTTGGTTCACTAAATTTAAATCACCACCATGGTATAAGGCAATTAAAACTTTCAGGAGGAAAAGCTACAACTGATACTGAAGCTGCTGAAATATTTGCAAATAAATTCATTGAACTCATTACTAATGAAAAGTTACCTCCAATATAAATTTACAACTTTGATGAAACTGGTCTTTTCTGGCAATATGTACCATGAAATACCTTGACAACCTCTACAGAAAATGCTCCAACTGGTGTCAGATTTCACAGCAAGACTACCAAATTTAGTATGCACAAATGCTGCAAGAATGCACAAGTGTAAACTTTTTGTAATAAGAAAAATTACACAACATCGAGCATTTAAAGGAGTGAAGATTTCCCCCAGGCTACATATGCAAATAAAGGGACATAGATGACACATGCATTAATTAACGTTTGGTTTGAAAATCATTTCATACACAAGGCTCGACAATATTTGAATTCAGTTGGTTTACCTGATGATGCAAAAATTGTCCTGATCATAGACAACTGTTCGGCTCATGCAGGGTGTCTCGAAAGAGGCTCCAGGAAAAGTGCAATAAAAATCTTACAATAAAAGGAAATAAAACCAAATTTTTACAACATACCTTTATGTTTGAAAAATAATAGTGCATTAGAAGAGGTTCTGGTAGTGATCTACCCCTCTACCTGTACACACAGTTAAACATGGTGCTGCATATTCACGTATGTTAGTACTGCCATATAGTATTAGGTGTCACTCCTTGGATTTCATGATGGACATTCTGACACAAATCGTTGATGTGAGTAGTTTGTGCTTGTATGCATTATCTTTAAGATGACCTCATAGAAAAAAAACTCAAGGGCTATCAAGTCTAGAAAAGTGGAAAAAAAGCGATTCCATCGCGTTCATATTCGCTGCAGATGTGTGGCATGTTGCCCCATGTTGCTAGTAAGCCAAATGTCAGCTCCTCATCATCCAACTGGTTCACAAATTCATGAAAAAATGCCTGGTATACTTCATTGGTGACAGTGTAAAAAAATTGGCCCAATGATGTGCCGCTGTTGTAATGCACAAAACACACTTATCTTCTGCAAATGAAAGGGTTCCTTGATAGCTGCATGCTGGTTGTCACTACTCTACGAGCGTGTGGGTTTCGTTAGTTCATGTATCACGACAAGTGGAACCATGCTTCATCACTCTACCATGTGTAATCTGGGAGCAACATACACGAAAATGCAACACTGTGTTAAACTGTGTATACAAGTGGGAGAGGTCATTCACAGCACCTCTTCTAATGCACTTTCATTTCTCAAACATAAAGGTATGTTGTGTAAAAATTTAGTTTAATTTCTTTCTGTTATAGGAATTTTATTACACTTTTCCTGGGCCTTATTTCGAGTGGGACACCTTTACTTTCAGCGAAATATAATGCATCTGTATTATTCATTCCTACAACCTGTATGTCCATCATTCATCCTATGGATATCAGAATAGTGTATACGCTGAAATGCAAATATAAAGTAGCATTCTAAAATCCATGTTTAATTTCTTGAAAAATGGCGAGACTATTCAAAAAAAATTTTTTTTTAAATATTTTAGCATAAAAGCTGCAGTGTGGAGCATTGTAAGATTGTGGGAGGATGTGTCTACACATACTTTAAAAAATGCTTGGCATAAGTTAGGCCAGTACCATATTTCACGTGAGGATGAAGACGATACCCGCAAATTTGAAGGTTTTCGGATATTGAAAACCAAAGATGAAATTTTCCAATTAATGGAGTTTGTAAAGAAATGTGAAGAAGTGGTAATAAATGAAATTCATAAAACAGAAGTTTTTCACTGCAATGACAATGCCCCAATCATTAATCAATTAGATGGCAAAATCTGTAGAATGGTTCTAGATCCAGAAAATACTGCTACTAATAGTGAAGAAAATCACAGAGAGGTTATTGAAAATGAAAAAATTTCAATTCATTAGTTAGAATTCTCGACACAGCAATTACAGGATTTATAACGGAACTTCGTAACTGAACAAGAAATTATGCCTGTCTGCAGAATTAAAAAGAAAGTATTAGCACAAAAAAAAAAAAAAAAAAAAAAAAAAAAAAAAAAAAAAACGAAGCAACTTAAGTAATTTACATTGAAAGAAATGTTTAATAAAAAGTAAACCAATATTAAACTTTTTTCATAAATTTTACCCTTTAGATCATAAATGCTTCATTATTTCATGTTTTTAATTTTACAATGTCTACATGTCATCTCACTAGAATTAAACTGATGATCTAATATCAGGAAAAATCCCTAATCCGGAATCGCCAAAGTCCTGATGAGTCCAAATCTCGGACTTTGTATTGTACACTGTATTTCCTTGAATATTTTCTTCCGTGGCTTATTACTGAGAACTTGCAAGCTATATCAGATTACATACAGCAATTCCAGCAGCAATAAATTGATTTGGTGGCCTGAAAGTAGAAGCTGGCCACAATAAGAGCAGAAAAAAAAAGACTACTTTTCATGTGTTTTGTTTTTATTGTAACCGTGTCCTTTGGAAATTAATTTATTTGCAAAATTTTCCCTCTTGATTTTTGGACAATAAACTCAGTAAAAAAGGGGTAATACACAGCAAATATGGTAGTACACAAATTATTTGCATGGGTAATAAAGATTAAAATTAATATGTAACTCTGGTTTTGTCAGATCTATGTTATGCCAGTTCACGTCATCAAACTATTTATTAATCACAAAAAAAGAAAACTTTCCATGTGAGCACTGAAGGTTGGTATACTTCAAACAAAACCAAGAATGTTCTTTTTCTTGGAACATTTAAAAAATCTACCGAACTTTATGCTCTTTGGCATCTGACACAGTAACAGATAGCTACTTTTCTGCACTATTATTTCTTTTCACTAACAAAATTCATCAAGAAGTTTTTACTCATTTAAGTCAACTGATGATGAATA